CTTTTATTTTTACAGGTTAAAATCTGAAAATAAAGACATGAGTAAAGCTGCGCTGAAGATTCAAGAACTTTATCGCAAGAAAAGAGATGCCAGAGAAATGGCTAAAATGAGGGATGTTCCTCAGCCTCGTATGCTTATGAAGTATTCTGGCCATCGAAACTGTCGAACAATGGTTTGCTATCCCCCTTTTTTCCCATTTTAAAAAATATTTACTAACTCTTATCACTTTGCAATTTTTTTTTCTTATCGTATAAATTGCAGACATTACTTCAAATAAGAAGATAATTACGTTCCTACATGTTTCATGTGTCTTTCTGGTCATGTGTGTTAATCAGTGACTTAAACTCTGGTAATTTAATAATAATGATAATTTAATTTAAAGAGTGCTGACATGATGTAGGCTCAAGGCCCTGTGATAACATTACTAACAAAATCATGACAGTTAAATCTGAACAAGTTTTGAACAGATAGGTCTTATTGTTCTTCTTGAACGTAGTGAATCATGTTGTCTGTCTGAGATTAGCCTTTGGTCCGTAGGTCTTATTGTTCTTCTTGAACGTAGTGAATCATGTTGTCTGTCTGAGATTAGCCTTTGGTCCGTGTACTGAAAAAGGCCGCAAGCCATAATGTGTTGGTTTGGTTGGTTTGATTGTTGTGTTGCTCTTTATTGGTGGCAATTATTTGTTGATATTCTTGGGCTTAATGCCCGCAATATTTATAAAAATTATGACTTAATCCAAAAAAAAAAGAAAACTATTTCAAATGTATAATCTAAATTAACTTTGTAATAAAGTTACATTGTTTATCATTTCTTAGAAAACTAGAAATAAAATGTACTTTCACTTGGTAATTTTGAATTTAGATTTACTACTGTTGAGTACAAGCATTATATATTTATAAATTGGGTTGATTTTTTGGGGTCAAATTTTTTTCAAATCTCTAAATTATAATCTCAAATTGATCTCAATCAACACAGATTAAAGAGGCAAACTTCTATGGAGACAGGTATGTAATATCTGGCTCAGACTGTGGACGCCTGTTAGTCTGGGAGAGGGAGTCTGGGAGGATGGTTATGTACTTAGACGCAGACAGACACGTGGTCAACTGTGTCCAGCCTAACTTGTATTTACCAGGTATGTATATTGTAATAATTGCTGTTTAGCCACTTAAAATAAATCAATATCAATTATTAGCAATCTGTAGTAAATACTCATCATCTGTCCCTTGACTTTTGTCTTAGGAGTGCCCTGACAGTTCGTGTAACCAAATCCCTCCACTTTTCCTGGTCAGCAGGGTATCAAGAGAGAGGCTGGTCCATTTTTTTACATTATCCAGCTAGCTTTTCCCTTGCATTGCCTACACTGTACCTTGAAAGATGACTTTTGATACCGAGTCATGTCTTACAAAAGGATGAACCAGCTCATCTTTTGTCACTTCACAGTATTGATGAGTTCTTCCTTTTTGCCTGGCTCAGATGTCCAAATGGTTCGAGGCAAGCATGAACCATGTGACCCAAGAAAGGCTTTTATCTCGTGGCCAGGATGAGAAATTGGCTCTTCACCGATCTTGGCATATTGTACGTTCTTCCGAGCCCCTGCAGGAATTCCTCCTTTCATGTGTGGCTGGAAGCTCACGTCTATGCCTTTTTGCCAGCCAGGTTGTTGACTTGTAAAAGTACAAAATCATTTTGTCTTCTTTTCCTGGTATCTGATACCCAGCATTTTTCTGTAGCATTTACTCTCAAAGGTTTGAACTCTTCTTTCAGCCTCAGAGCTCTGGGTCCAACTTTCATAACCATATTGGAGTAGAGAGACAACTAACTAACTGTAATAAGGCAATTATTTAAAAGAGTATTATACTGAAATAATAATAATAATAATCTTTATAATCTGGAAATTTGTCTTACAATTTGTGCATTACACCAAACAAAAAAGCATTATAACTATAAGAAACCAAAGTGTACATTCACACCAGACTCACTCAAAATTTACATGTGACAAAGTTTATACCAGATTGTTCTTATTTAATGATTTGATTGCCAGGGGAACAAAAGAGTATGTCAACTGCCACTGAGCTATAAAAAAAATTAATTTAGAAAATTCCATTTACACCGCCGAACCACTGTACCGATCTTTCAGTAGTTTTCAAAATGGTCCAATTCCACTGTACCTATTTTTCAATATTTGACAATTACCTATAAAAAAAACAATTCGTCAGAAACTAATAACCAAGAAACCTTAATAAAAACACTTTGCCAGTGCCAATGTAGCCCCCCCCCCCTCCCCCCCCCTTTTGTTAACATTGAATTGTTTCTACATGAAAAGTATCTGAAAATGTGCAATAAATATAAAAAGCAGGCACATCAATGTTTGTTGTATACTTTTAATAAGCCTAAAGTTGGTCACTGTTTTGGTTGATTTAGACTCTAGGAGTCAGAATGTCATTAAGAAGATTGTTTCTACTTCAATAAAAGAGAGATGAATAGATGAAAGAGAGAGTGAGGGATGAATAGATGAAAAAAAATATTTTTTTTTGTAAGACTTAGTGCTTATAAGATAGTAAGAAAATGGGAGCATGGCCCTCAGGAGCTCAAGCATATAAATGAGTTAGTTTCAGAGGGTTGTTAGGGTTAAGCAGAAAATCTTTAAATATATATAAAAATCAATTCTTTTTTTTACAATTGTTCGTCTTTTGTTTGTTTATATTAAAGAGATTTTGTTATAACATTGAAAGTCAAAAGCTTAAATCTGTTGGACACTTTTTCTTTCAATGCAGTCATTGCCTCTAGTGGAATTGATTACGACATTAAAATTTGGTCTCCACTGGAGGAAGAGGCTCAGTTTGAACTCAATAAGGCAGAGATGGTAATGTTATTGTTTGTACTTGTGTGTTATGATATTAGGGTGCCAAGTTCGTTTTTTTTTTCCCTGATATTTTAATTTGAATGTTACCCTCTAGCTTAAAGTTTGCCTTTACAGATTATGCGACGCAATGAGTTAATGCTGGAAGAAACCCGAGACACAGTCACTGTACCGGCTGCTTTTATGTTGAGAATACTGGCCTCACTTTCACAGATTAGAACAGGTTAGTCTATGTTGACTTAGAAATTTAATAAATTTAATATATTTCTGAATGCAGACGACTAAAGACCAAAATCTTCCTTGAAGACTGAATGAAATCCTTTCAAATCATCGCACAATGACTAAGAATAAGTCAAAATATACTAACCTGTTCAAATCATTTCACAATGACTAAGAATGAAAATTTTGATAAACAAAAACCATTATAGTATCTCTAATTGCACAAGTTTATTATTGTTAGTCTAGATGTATTAAAAATTAATTACATGATTAAATACAAATAATTTATGCAATTTCATTCACTATAAGTGAGGTTGTTACAAAACTATTTTTCATATTCGCTTGTTATGTTTGGAAGATTGTATGCCAATTAAGTCCTACTGGAAGTTTCCTGGGGGCTTAAGATTTTGATTTTTATGTTTTGCTACACAGGAAGTCAGTGTTTTTTTTTCCTCTGTTTTTTTTAAGGACGAAACTCAGCAAGACAAGGACAGCCAGCATCACCAGATGCTTGAATTGATTGTAGTAGCAATCACAAGCAAGGATTTTATTCTGTCAGCCTTACGTTTCTTCAATTACAACTCCTGACCTGGTTGTGGCTTTAGAAATTTTTTGACTAGTGTCTAGAGTGTGGCTGTGAGCTTCATATTTCTGTGTAGTACTTATCATGGTCTCATTCAGTTGAGTAGATTTACTCAGGTCTGGGTTGAACTTGTCTGGTACTTTTAGTTTGCTCTTTACATCTTCAGGTTTGTTTTCACTTAGCAGGCCTCCAGTGTCTGCTCTTAGTGACTTGTTGCTTTTGTTATTTCTTCGTAGCACATTATCTTATAAGTTACAGACTTTCCTTCCAAGCAGAAGATAAATACTTCCTAAGGGTCTTAAATGTTTAAGTCCTTGTGCTTATACTGACCAAGTAGTTAACAAATATATGTTTCTTGAGAAGTCAGGCTAGAGACTTAATGATAGTAAATAGAAGTGTCAGGGATAAGGATACTATCAGAGTAGGATAAGTATGAAAATTAGTCATACAGAATGATATTTTTATTATATATATATATAGTTGAATTCTCTTTATCAGACCACATTGGGACGCAATCATTTTGGTTCTTATAACTCACTGGTCCGATTGACTTGATTCAACTGTAGAATAGAATTTCTTTTGGTACTTTTGGTTGGATTCTGTATGAATTAAGCAGCTGGTCGTATTAACCAGTGGTCCAATTAACCATATTCTACTGTATTAATATTGCCATAAATTTGCTGATAATTACGTGGCATTGTATATTTATTCATATAAGGAATAATTTAAAGCAGTTTCAAACAAAAAAAACAAACAAAATAATTGCTTTCATTTTTCTGTTCGCCACTGTCAATTATTCCCACATTTACAGCAATCCTGTTGATCAATATTTCCTTATAATTGTGTACAGTTTGATAGTCATTGATTTTTTTGTCAAGCACAATACTTAGGAAAGGTAAGGACAGGATATATGGAAACAAAATACCAGTGTTGCTTTCTATAGTCTTGCTGTGAATACTGAAAAATGTGAGTTGGATGGACTACGTATGTATTGTTAGCAATAATATCTAAAGCACTTTTAAAGGACTACGTATGTATTGTTGGCAATAATATCTAAAGCACTTTTAAAGGACTACATATGTATTGTTGGCAATAATATCTAAAGCACTTTTAAAGGACTACATATGTATTGTTGGCAATAATATCTAAAGCACTTTTAAAGGACTACATATGTATTGTTTGCAATAATATCTAAAGCACTTTTAAAGGACTACATATGTATTATTAGCAATAATATCTAAAGCACTTTTAAAGGACTACATATGTATTGTTGGCAATAATATTTAAAGCACTTTTAAAGGACTACATATGTATTGTTGGCAATAATATCTAAAGCACTTTTAAAGGACTACATATGTATTATTAGCAATACTATCTAAAGCACTTTGACTAGAGTTGTTGTTGATGTTGTTTTTTAAAAAACTATTGTAATGCAGTGAAAGTGTGTAGATAGAGCCAGCGTGTGCTGTAGATTTCTGCCTAGCAAAGTTGTGATGTAAACATTTACATGTCTTTCATATGTGTTTCGTGGTGTGACACCTATTTATAGAGCCATTGCCAACATTGCATTTATTCACTTCATGGCTGGGTTTTTGTTTTCAGACTAATAAAACACCTTTTGTTTGTACAGATTAGTTGCCTGTTTACCTACAAAGTGTGAATGAAGAGGAGAGGGATCTAGTTACTATCTGTCCTTTCAGATGAATGCAGAATGATCTTAAAATGTAACAGCGTGCTGACTTCACCACAATTAAATTATGGCTTTTATATATAGTTCGTCCATCGTGGTTCGATGATGACCACTTTGTCATCCAGGGGGCTGAGGGCTTTGCACTGGGGTTTTATATCTCCTCATGTGGCTGGGCACTGATGAATCGTATAACTGTGAGTCATCGGCAAAGAAATGGTATTAGATGCCGGTTGGCCGTATGACACCACTGAGTGGACATGTATACATAGTGAACAGTACTGGGCCTAGAACTGATCCTTGGGGTACTCCGTACTTCAAAAGTAAGCTTGTTGATTCTGTCCCGCTAATAACGACACTTTGGGTGCGTTCCGTCTGGTAGGATCCAAGCCACTTTAGGACGACTCCTGCTAAACCAAAAGTTGCAGAGAATCTGGCCATCATAATTTCATGGTCTAGCGTATCAAAGGCTGCGGACAAGAATTGATGTGGCCTTTGTCGGAATTGTGAAGTAAGTCGTTTAGTACCCTGACCACTGCTGTCTCTGTGCTACGGCACTTCTTATATGCAGATTGAAATTCTTCCAAGAGACAGTACTGTTCAAGATGAGAAAGAATTTGCGCTAACACGATGCGCTCCAGAAGCTTTGACAGGAAGGGAAGATTTGATACCGGGCGATAGTTTTTTAGACATTCCGGGTCAAGACTGGATTTCTTTAAAAAGGGCCTGACAAGTGCATGCTTAAATTGCTGTGGTACAATGCCTGAAGTCAGTGAAGAGTTCACAATGTTAGTAATTGTGGGTACAATTTCATCCAAACATTCAAGGAGCAAGGAGGTTGGAATGGGATCAAGGTCACATGACTAGTTTGGCATCTTTAAAATAGTACTTTTGACAAAATCTTCAGATACACGCTGAAACTCGCTAAAAGGAGAATTTTGAAAAATTGGAGAGTGGTCAAGCTGTGATGAGAGGGATGGCATGTTATTTCTGATCTGCTCAATCTTCCCAATGAAGAATCTGTTAAAGAAATCGGGGAGTTCAGATACTGGGATAGATGACGGCAAACGTTCGTTATTAGCTCCCCCTAACATTTCAGCGGTGTTCCTGAATAGCTCCTTTGAAGAATCAGAAGTTTCGATTTTTTTGTCGAATATGACTAGCTTTTGCGTCTCTACGGTTAACCTTGTTTTTTTTACTAGTATGTATATTTGTCGATGTATCGTCAGACCTGTCTTTTGAAATGTACGTTCGGCACGTCGGCGAATAAGTTTGGCAGTCTTTATGACCTCCGTCATCAAGGGTGCTGATGGCCTGAGACAGTATGATTGACAAGAGGTGCATGGCTGTCCAGCAACTTTTTCAAGCAAGAATTGTAATTGCTGAGAACGTCTGTGTTGCTCTGTTGCAACAGCAAAGAGGTCACGTCCATTTTGAAGGAGGCAATATCTATGGCTTTAAGTTTACGGGAAGTCACGTTTTTCTTTGGCTTTTTTTGCTTTTGATAGGCGCATTTCAAAGTGTACAAGAAAATGATCTGACAGGACGCGGTCTGAGACATTGAGTTTGGCTATAAGCTCACTTGCATTTGTAACAATCCAGTCAAGAGTATGGCCTTTGACGTGTGTCGGAACATTTATCAGTTGGTCTAAGTTGCGATCCTTTAGCGCATTTTTCAGCGACATCGCGTATGTGTCATTTTCACTGTCAAAATGCAAGTTCACATCGCCTATGACAAATAGATCTTTCATGCTCAGAGCGCTTTGGTCCAATCTCAGTTGTGGACCAGTGGGGGGGAGGGGGGATCTAGGAGAAGGTTTTTCCGTGCTGCCTATCGGCGCTCATTAAACACAATTCTGCCCGAGTCGGGTGTCGAACCTCGAGCCCCCTTCTTAGGTAGCCAAGCTAAGTTCAAGCGCACTTAGCCTCTCGACCAGAATTAGAGTGTAATGTTGGCCCCACCTTAAAATAAAGCAAAATTGCTGGCTCTACCACTAAATGTAGCGCTGTTTTCCAAATAACAGAGCAGAATGTTGGTCCACTACAAAATGGAGCATTATGTTGGTCCACCCAAAATTGAACATCATGTAATTCCACCACAAAAGGAAGCATTCTGTTGCCTCGGACAACCAAATGGAGCAGCATTTTGTCTGCCACAAAATAGATTTGGATTTTACATTTTTGGCACATTTGAGGCCATTTCATAACCCAGTTTTTTTCAAGGATTCTTCTATTCAACAAATACTGTAGGAACGTTAAAAGATATACAAGTTACTAATTTATTGGAGCATCATGCATATTTCAATATAACTAGGTGTACAGGGCACAATATGGCCTAAATTGGACGGATGTGCCAAAAACTAAAAAAAAATATCAACTAGGAGTACTGCACAATTATGTTTAAAAAATGTCAATCAAAACAGTCTTATGTGATATTATTTATTAAAAAAATTAATAACAAAGTTATATACAACATTATGCTTCATTTATAAGAAAAAAAACAACATGCAAGTAAAATACATCTATTACAAACACATTTCAAAAGTAACTACAAAACATTCCCCTAAAATCACACTGAGTTTTCCAAAAAAAAATTATCACAACCTATGAAACAAACAGTAAAAAACCATTTCTACATTAGCAGAGTTGAAAGAAAGATAAATGTTGACCATCTAAACATTACCCAATTAGAGATGAAGAATTTAAACATATAAAGTTTCAAGGATGCATGGTGGTTGATTGATAGAATAGAATGTCTGAACTGGGTGTACCAGGTTTGAATCCTGGTGAAGACCATAATTTTTCTGGATCTATAGTGCCCCTTCAAGTCCACCCAGCTCTAATGGGCACCTGACAATTTGGGGAAAATTTAAAGGCAGTTGGTCGTTGTGCTGGTCTGGCCATATGACACACTCGTTACCATAGGCCGCATAAACAGTTGATCCTTACTTATATGCCCTATAGACAGCATGGTCTGAAAGGGGAACTTTACTTTTACCAAGTATCCAATTAGTTTGCCATGAGATATACATTACTTCTTCATTTCACCTGATATACAATGTCTTCATAGAATAAAAAGTACAAATAAAACTAATAAATGTACATACATTTTTCTTTAAGTACTATAATTAATTATTTTGTTTTTAATTATAGACTCATAAAGTTTTGAGTAAATTTTTGTTCAAATGTTCCTCAAATTAAGGCCTCAAGAATTCATCTCAAGAACAGAATATTATTTGCCTTTTTTTTTTCATTCTGTGGCTCTTAATCGCAAACAGACATTTAAAAAAACATCTAAAACAAAATATAGCAGTAAAGAACCTGCTGGGAAGGACTGACATAGACATGGGAGGTATTTTGAAAAGACTGATACTGAAAGTGAACTAATTTTTCAAGGTGCAGAATGAATAGTGATAAGAGAACTATGAGGAGTTAATGAACAGAAAGAAACAGGGGAAGTAACAGATCAGAAGTCCTACTGAAAAACATAAAAATACAATGAGTGTTAAAAAAAAGTAAATGCCTGTTTCATTAAGATGCATCAATTCTAGATTATTTATTTCGTTTCTCCTTATTTCAATTCATATTTTAGATCTCCCTCATCTGCTGCACACAGCATCAAGATATTTGTTTAGATACTGGGCAAATAAGAGGTAATACCTCATTAGGAACTAACAAATTAGAGCTAATACCTCATTAGGAACTAACAAATTAGAGTTTACGCCTCATTAGGAACTAACAAAAAGAGGAGGCTGAAGATGGGAAGTACAAGAGTAACAAACATTATTTGTAAGAAACTTTAACACAATCAAATACTTATAAGATCACACTTGCACATGTTCAAATTAGCTGTGTATAAAAAGATAAAATATATTTAATTAAAAAAAAATTCTAATTATGCAAATGTGTTGGCAGCCAACCACAGTGACACTCAATTTAGGATTTCTTATAATGAAGGCAGTAGTAAACAATACATTGCATAATCAAAGTACAGTTGACTCTAAATAGTTTAACAGTTACAGGAATGGGGAGGGTTGGATACAGAGAAAGATTATCAAAGGTTAGCTGTGCTTCTAAAAATGTAACATAAAGACTGTTGCATTTAGTTTACTTTTAATAATAATAATATTCTTTATTGTCCGTGAGGAAATTTGTCTTACAAATTACACCAAACAAAACATTGTAACTATAAAAAAAAGGAAATGTACATTTATACCTGACTTATTCATAATTTACATGTCAAAAAGTTTATATCAAATTGTTTCTATTTAAAGATTTGATTGCCAGGGTACAAAAGAGCATTTGTGTCTGTTTGACTTTGCTATCAGTGTCTTGTATCTCTTTTGTGATGGTAAAATCACAAAATCCGGACCCAAAGGGTGATTTTTTTTTCTAGATGTTTGCTGCCCAAATGGGGGTTTGTTTTTGCCAATAACTTTACCAGCAGCATTTAGGATTCTATGGATTTTTTTTATCTTTTTATCTAAAGGTGAGATGTACACAAGATTATAAATTCAGAAATACATTGTTTGATCAACACAGTCTCATCATACATTGATCAACACAGTCTCATCATACAATGATCAAGACAGTCTCATCATAACATCAAGACATCATTGTCATCTGGCACTCAAACTTATATTGCCATAGTAACCTTGTTTCAAGAAAATTCTATTTATGATGTATCAGATATTCTGCTAGACTTTTCAATATACGATTTATATTGCCATAGTAACCTAGTTTCAAGAAAATTCTATTTATGATGTATCAGATATTCTTCTAGACTTTTCAATATATAAATAACATAAGAAAAGAAAATGTACTGAAGGTGTCGGATTATGAAGTGTCAGACTATCAAGAGTCAAGTATACATGTTTTATAAATAATTATCAGCAGTGCTAAACCATACATAGAAAGAGCAAAGTACTTTATCATTACATTATTGATCAAACCATTAGGATTAAAGTGCCTGTATAATAACATCAGCAGACTGATGACCTTACATCAAATGATCAAAGTACTAGTATTATAAAATTAGTGGAATAATAAACCTTATATCATATGATGAACATATTCATATTATAACATAATCCTAAAAGCTGCATATAATAATAAAAGGGAATGTTGGCAACAAATTATATTAATGTCATGTCAATGCTATAGATAATCATAAGCAGAATAATTTGCATAGTCATGGCGTATTAAACTTAACAAAAAACCAAAACAGCATGAAAGAATAGATCAGCCTATTTCTTGATATTCTGCTACCTAAGGACAGCTGCTGACCAGGAAGTGGGAAGGGATTTGGTTCAGCACTTCTCTGATACAAGTTAAGGGACTAAAGATAATACTATGTGAACTGTTTGGGTTAAATTAATTCAATTTTTCAGTTAAGAAATATTTGGCAGAGGATACAGTTTGCACTTAATTAACCTAAAAACATCAAAATACTAAATGGATTTAGAAATATAAAATGAATATATGAAGCAATAAAAATAGTATGATTATTTAAATATATTTTTTATTATAATTATCATTATTGAATACAAAAATATAAATGTAAATCAACGAATTGATAACACACTTTTTGTTATTGTTGGGAGTTATTTAGCTTTAAATACCAATACAATCACCTTTTCTGAGAGAAATTTTGCTTAAAAACATTAATTCAAATCAAGTAGAAAAATTAAAAATGATTAAAAAAATAAAAAAACAAGCAACAACAGGATTTTATAAGATTATTGTATCATTTCAATTTCCATTAAAATTGCACGATAAAAAAATGATTAAATAATAACAAATTTATAATACAATCATCTTTTGAAATTTTCCAATCAGAACAGAACAGAAATATATGCTTGTAGGATGCATATTATGTAATGTAGCAAAAAAAAAAAAGATATATAAATTATGTGATTTTATAGACTTTAAACATGTCACAGATAGCAATACATCAGCAGTGTTAATATGGCTATCAGAGATAAACCCTTTTCAACAATATAAACAACCCTACAATGTTTATATACGACTACAGACCGTAACATGTTTCTGTATTGATATTTATTTTATATTTTATGATTATAAAAATTGATTGATTGTCATGTAACTTTAAACTCTAAGTATTGGACACAAAGTTAAACACAAAAAAAATTTTCACGAAGAAGATTAATTTGAATTTTTTGTAGACAAAAGGTGATTAACTTAGCCAGCGCCCTGCCCATTTGGGTCTAATCAGTTCAGTAGTCAGCTTCATTGGTACCCGTATTTCTTTCATTTAGATGCATTACAATGTTTGAATAGATCCAATGATCCACAGATTAAGAATTCAAAAGGTTCAATATCTACTATGTGTACAAACATTAAGGAAATTTCCTTGTCCCCCATTGTTGTCATGATTTGTCAAAATGATCCGAACACTAAGAAATAGTACAATAAACATTAGAATTTGGTAAACATTATTCATAATTTTTTTTTTTGTTTTTACTGTACTGCTCTGAATATTGTGGCTAAAAAGTAGAGTGCATGTCTGTCAGCAGACCAATGGTTCAGTTCCCATAGTGAAATGAGACTTTTAACTCAATGGATAATTTTTCTACTTTAAACTCAATGGATAATTTTTCTGAGTCCCAGCTCTAATCAGAACCTGGCATGTGAGAGAGGGAAAAGAAATGTTCTCATTTCACTGTCTATTTAGCATTGGAATGGGACATTAAACTTTACAATTACCTCAAGAAGGAAATCTTTATTTAAAAATGGTGTCCTATTCATTTATGTACTTTTACTTTATCCTTCTATAGCTCACGGGGACATGTAACACTGAGGTAGCAGGCTTTCATCATCATCTTTCCTTTGAGTTCCTCATGGAACATAGGGCCTCAGTAAAAATACACCACTCTCCACGGTCTCTTGCTAGTTTTTTAATGGCTCTTTCCTGTCCTCTCGACTTCATCTAGTATACTGCGTCACCATGTTCTTTATGGTCTTCCTCTATGTCTTGTTTCCCTGGGGGTTTCCACTCCAAGGCCTGACTAACTCTGTTGTCGGTATCTTTTCTAAGGGTTTTGAAACATGAAAAATCTTTTGAACCATACCACTACATCTTGCCTGCTTCTTTCATTTCTTCGGTGCATCTTTTTCTAGTCCTACTCTCACATTGAAGCTGATGTATTGGGTTGATCAACATTTACTGGGTGCCTGAAACAGTTTCTATTTTGTCCGGCCATACATTCACTGAGTTGTATGGGGTGCCATCCATGTCATCATGTCTTTTGAACCATACCACTACATCTTGCCTGCTTCTTTTATTTCTTCGGTGCATCTTTTTCTAGTCCTACTCTCACATTGAAGCTGATGTATTGGGTTGATCAACATTTACTGGGTGCCTGAAACAGTTTCTATTTTGTCCGGCCATACATTCACTGAGTTGTATGGGGTGCCATCCATGTCATCATGTCTTTCTTAATTTGCTGCTGCCTTTCTGAGAATCTCATTTCACAGGTTGTTAGCTTCTTGCGTCTTGCTGAGGTTCCAGGTCAGACTTTTGTTTGCATTGGCCTAAAGATCAAAGTGGGCACAACTTGCCATCACTTTTATGTTGGAATGCTGGTTGCTCAAGAATAAGGTTATCGTTAAAAGAACAATAAATAATGTACATAAAACAGGTGTACATGACATATAAAATACAAAGATTATTAAATCTCAGACATATAACAATGTAAGTAATAAATAAAACAAGATATAAAACAAACTTGCCATAAAAATATATAACATTGATATGTTCTGTATGTTTTTACAATGAATGTAAATAAAACAAATTGGAAATCACACACAAAAAAAAACAACAACCCAGAATGGAATGAAGCGAAAAAAAACAACAAACCCAGGAATGGCAGCCAATGAACACCCAGTACCATAACCCAACAATTTTCATTGTATTCAAATGATATGAGCATATGTTCAACTTTTTCATGGAATATAAATAAATACTCTTCTTACTTCAAGCACATTGCACTAACTTATTGTAGATCTCCAGTCTTTTAACAATCAAGGGTAATAGAAAGAGAGAAACCTGTTGAATAAGATAAAAACATAGAAGCATTAATAAAAAGTGTGCCATAATGGGGAGTTAACTATTTTTGAGCTATTGTAAAGACAGGAGTGATTCCCCTTAAGAAGTTTATATAAGGGCATGTTATCTGTTTAGTTGCCACTTGCCCCTGAGTTACCAGCTTAACCACTGGACCTGTTTTGTGAACTGTATATATTTTTTCTGTTAGTTATTGGTCGTGTGTCTTGTGGCACTTGGGAGAAAAGTGCCCTGCTCTGGAGATCATTTGAGGCTATATCTACTAATTAAATATAAAATACAATAAGGATTAAAGATACACTTAGCCCAAAGATCTCCAGCCATCTGATGAGTTATATTTCATGTTACAGAAATTATTACTATTTCATTAAAAGTTCTTTCTGTTACTATAAGCTAAGAGATATTATTGAGAAACAATAGAAAAATAACTATAAAAGAATACCAACCACCACAGAGAAATATCCTTAGAATGATCCTCCATATAGATGTTCATATCAGGAGGCGGATGACCAATATCTACCAGCACCTTCGTATACAGGGGAAGTTCTTCAACCTTTATCACTGTGTAGTTCATACCCTGAGGGTTGTTCAGTCCATCTGTCTGCCAGCGTCTTCGCCACCCAAAGAACATTCCATTGCTGATAAAATGAAAATAA